TTTTAAATTTCACGCTCCTTAAGAAATTAGGTAAATTTATCATTTTATTCTTATTTAGTGATCTTTTGAAGTCAAGTTTTTAATAAATGAACATAAATTAATTTATTTTGATTAATAAAATTGACCAATGAACATGAATGAATCATTTGGTTTTTCTATATTTGTCAAATTCATACTTTCAAGACTAATAACTCTCAAGGATAAAATATGAAGAATAATGTTATTTATGTATTGATTTTATGAAGTAACTATTATTAATTAAGGAACATCTATATGTCGTTTTTATGACATGCAAATAGAAATGATGGGAATAGTGAATAACGTGGCCTACATATATTATGAAAAATGTATATTTATCATGAAGAAGTTTTCTACAAGGCTTTTAATTTAGTTGTTAGCACTCACATCAACCTTTTCTTGGCAGACTTATTAAAGAACCATTAAGGAGTTGGTCCACGACCTTCAAATCTATATATCTATATAAAGCTGGATATAAATAATCTGTTGTGGCACCCTTCTATGATCAGTATTTGATTTATTTTTTATCTCTTTTTTTTTCTATTTTTTAATTTATATTTTCAAAAACTTAAATGTCTAACCCAATTAATCACCTCCTCTTTAAAATATCCCTTAAATTATTATACATTTAAGTAAATGGAAAATGAAAAAACAAAAAAACTTTCATTTTCAAAACAAAAAATTTTTCATTACCAAAATTGTTATAAATTTTGCATATAAATTAAAAAGATTTGAGTATCCATAACCAATAACAATGAACTTCATGATTTCACTATTCTTCTTTCATTTCTTCTACTTCTTCACATCTGCAATTTATAATATAAAAAACAGTGCGTACCTATCAATTATTAGCCATGAATATCAACATTTGATATTACATATCTATTGGCATACATAATTCTACTCCATCCAAAAAGAAGTAGAAGAGAAAGACAACGTATATTGGTATAAGAAGAAAGGTCATGCAACAACCATTTTTTCTCAAAATAATAGACTTTTTGAAAGGATATTATACTATAAATCCTTTTACAAAAAAGATACATGCTGAGAAAAAATTAACTTGATTGAGAAATTTTTAGGAAGAGTGATGAGTGTTCAAAGGCCAAGAAGAATTATTTAGAAGAATTATCTATACATGGAATTCATACATTTTTTCTCAAAATGATAGACTTTTTGAAAGGATATTATACTATAATTCATTTTACAAAAAGATACATGCTGAGAAAAAATTAACTTGATTGAGAAATTTATGGGAAGAGTGATGTGTTCAAAGGCCAAGAAGAATTATCTATTTATGGAATTCATATTAAATTAAGAGAAGAGTAAAGGAAGAATTATTTGAAGAAAAAATCAATTTATTTATGGAATTCATAAAATTAGAAGGAGAAAAAATAAATTATGATTTGAAAGGAGCCAAAATTAGTGCTCACATTATTTATTTCAACTTTTTTATTCTATTAATTTCTTTTTTATAACAAGTATTTTCCTAATTTATATTTTATTTATGTGTCTGTAATTAAAGCTTAGATCTTTAACACACATATATATAACCCCCGCTGCAAATTTGTTTAATAATATTCAATGACACATTTAATTTTTGTTAAATGTCCAAATAGTATTTAGTGAATGGGACCATTTCATTATTTATGGCTATTAAAATAATTAGAAATCTTAAATTTATTCATATTATAATAAAAGGAAAGCAAAAAACTATTATAAACTATTTCTAATTAGCTATATATAAATATATAAATACTACTTAACTGTATAACAATTTTTAAACTTATAGTTTTATATTTGAAATCTTTTTGCTTTTTTGGGGTTTTTTTCCTAATTTTAGAAGACTAAATTTTTTACCTTATAATTTTATATTTGAAATGATTATATTTAATTACTTTCAATATCAATGCCATTAATCTCTTTTTCTACCTTTCCTTAATTTCATCATTAATCTAATTTATATCATTTACCTTAATCACTCATTTTCCTTTGTTCTTTTTATCTTCTTTTATTTATTTAACCTAAGGAATTAACTATTATAACTTTATAAGCATTGCATTTTATTTTTTACAAAATTTGATCAGCCAATTTTTTTTTTTTTGAATTTTTACCTCATTTCTCCTTCTAAAGATATATATATATATAATACTAAAGTTGGACAGTAAAAAATTGAAATGACATGTGTCATTGGATAGTATCACTATTTATTTTACATAATTTTAAACTATTTTCTTAATTTTTTAATCAAAAAATTTATAAAAAAATTATATTTACTTTCTCATTAATTATTGACATTTATTTCATTTTTCAAATCTCTTTCTTTTCTTCTCCTTCTTCCATCTTCTTCCAAATTAAAAATAAATATAAATTTCTTTATTATCGTCATTTATTTGCTTAAAATACCTCTCTTGCCACTTTCTTCTATCTCTTTTTATACTTTAAATAAAATTATCTTAATATACTCAACTATTAAAATTCCTTATATGATTATGAATTTTTAAAAAGGTAGAAAATCATGTAATAATTGAGAATATTAATATTGATTAGTATAATTTAACCTTTTTCTCAAATTTTTATTTAGAATTTCAATAAAATCTCCTCACTTCATTTTTCTAACCATAAAAGTAGTTATTATACAATTAAGAGTGTTAAATTATTATTTTATATTTTATCCTTTTAAATTAAAGTGAGGTGGCATGTCTCATTGGGCAATATCACTATTTTTCTTTTTTCTCAGAATTTTTAACTCTTTCTTAAAAAAAAATATTGATCAAAGAAATTGTAAAAAAAAATCTATTTCTTTCTTCATTAATTATTAACATTTATTTCATTCCTTCACGTTTTTCTCTCTTTTCTTTTTCTTCCGTTTTCTTTCAAATAAAAGATATGTTTTTTTTTCTTATTATTGCCATTTATTTCATTTCCTTAAATGCCTCTCATCAATCTATTAATTTTTTTTTGCTATTTTCTTCTCTTTATTTTTTCTATAAATAAAACTTTCTTAACATACTCAATATTAAAATTCCTTATATAATTATGAGGTTTAAATAAAAGAGAAAATCACGTATAATATAGAATATTAATATTGAATGAGTAATAATTTAGCTGGTATATCAAATTTGTATATATTTAGAATTTCAATATAATCTTTTCACTTCATTTCTTCAATCATTCAAATAAGGTGTAATGTTTTAGAAATTGTAACCAATCAACCCATGAGTTCCAACAAAAAGATTTATATTTATAATTTTATATTTTTATCTAGATTAAATTTATAAAAGAAATTATTTATTTATTCACTAATAAACTTATAACCGCGCAAAGTGCGGCTATATTCACTAGTATTAATAAATAAGGCTCGTGGTTGGCAAGACCCCTATTAATTGAACCTGCAGTAAACTAAGTGAATCACAATAATTATTAGAATAGAAAGATTTAACTCGTTTGATATGGATTTAGAAGTACCTTTTGAAATCTTTTTTGGCAAATTTTTGTTTGGTCATAAAATTTATGTACTTTTTGGGAGATTTTGAAAACCAAATCCTGGAATATGTTAAAAATCTATTTTTGGGCCAAAAAGTAGTTGTCGATTTCTTTTCAAATTTTGAAGTTGCCCTTTTTATATTGGAAAAATTACAGAAATCCCACTTTTTAGTTTACTTATTACCATTATCCCCTATAAGTTTTACAAATCTCCAAAATCCCTCATTTTCGCGCATCAGATTAGTATCGCACACATCAAACTAATGTATCTCGCACATCAGATTAATGTATCTCGCGCTATATTATTGTATCCGTTTGAGGGATTTCTATAATTATAAATCGATTTCTTTTCAAATTTTGAAGTTGCCCTTTTTATATTGGAAAAATTACAGAAATCCCACTTTTTAGTTTACTTATTACCATTATCCCCTATAAGTTTTACAAATCTCCAAAATCCCTCATTTTCGCGCATCAGATTAGTGTATCTCGCGCATCAGATTAATGTATCAGCGCTTATATTATTGTATCCGTTTGAGGGATTTCTGTAATTATAAACTTTTAAGGGATAAATTGTAATTTTGCCTTAAAAGTATGTGATTTCTCTAATTTGCATACCAAAATGCACACCTCATTTAACAACAAATGCTACAAGAAAAAAAAAGAATTTAACTATGAACTTCATTATTCATCCATCGTCAAAATTTTCGGAGCTAAGAACTCTTTTTAATAACTCGTTATTAATCTGTCGCTAAATAGAATTAGCTATCATTTTCACTAGTTAGTTTTCTGTCAATAATTCATGTTTGTTTAGCAATAAAATAACTTAATATATAAAAGATAAAAGGATAAAAAATGCCCTTAAACTTTGTGAATGGAACAAAATGTCATTCGTTTATAGTTTGGCTCAAAAATGTTGTTGCCGTCAATACTTTGGTTAAAAAATATCTTGCAGTCAATACATTGGTCCAGAAATGCCCCTATAATTACTAAATAGTTCAAAAATACCATTTTCCGAATATATATATATATATATATATATTCTTTTTAAACACATCTCCATCCTAATTAAAATATTATTAAAGAACCATGTTCTTGTTTTCTTTCTTTTAAAATCACTTTAACAAAGAAAAATGTAAAAAAATATTTTTTTTCTTCTTAATCTCATTTTATAAATTAAAATGGAATACCTTTATGTACCCTTTCGATAGATAATATATGTCATATATATAAGATCATAGTATATCCATCATTAATTTATATTTATATAACGATAAAAAATAATTATAAAAAATAAGAAATATTTTCATTTTTTATTTTATTTTCTGAATTGAAGTAAGATAAACATTTGCTAATTTTAAAAAATATTATTAGAAAAAATGTGTTAAAAAGAAAATAAACAATATATTTATTTGAAAAATAGTTGAGAGACATTTTAAGCCCTTCTCTATTTAATATAATATAAATAGTAAAATCATTTTTCTCTGTTTAATGAATCTTACCAGAAATGTGTAGTGCATCTTTGATAGGTGTGGGCATGGGAGTATTGGGCAATTTGACTCTCCAATACACCTCAGGAGATAAATTTGCTGCATGACTTACCACAAAAATTACCTAAACACAACAACAACAATTAATTAATTAATTGTTCATATATAATCTACTTATTTTTTTTTCAATTGAAGATTAAAAGTAAATTAATTATTATTTTACTCACAGAAAAAAATGTGAAGAAATAATATTGGTGATGCAACTCCATTGTAAATGTATTTGCACACAATATAATGTTTGACTATGGGATATGATTGTTAGGAAATTGGTAGCCAATTTATAGGGGTTAAACAAGGGCCTTTATGGAAATATGTGATAAATATTAAATTATATAGTTATCTTATCTTATAATTAAATAATTTGAGATATGTACACAGTACACACTCTCCCCCTCATGCTGAATTTATTCTCTGTAACTAATGGTGACAAATGGACAGATTGAGTCAAATTTTTATACATATAAAAATGAGTTAATATAAAATAGTTAATAATTTAAATCGTCCATATTTTGTATGGGTAAGAATAAGTTGGGTAACAAATGTATTGGATAAAAGAAACATTGATTCATATTTCCATAAGTAAACAATATTTTATTTTAGAATTTAATATTAAGGAAATACTTTAATCTTCTTTTGGATGATAAATGTTGAAATTATCTTATTTAGTTTTATTATATATAAAAGTCATAATAAAGTTTTTTCTTTTTATAACTTTTCAATATAAATTAAAGGCGGAATGATCTGAGAGGCCCCTGTACTTGTATCTGTTTGTCAGTTGAATCTTTATACTCGTTACTTTGTCAAATGAACCCTTAAACATGATGAAACTTTATTTTTTAAACCCTTCAAACCATTGACCGAGCTTATATAGCATTAAAATAGCTGAGTTAGACAAACGTGTGATCACACTAGTTTTAAAGCAAGTGAATACAATTTTTTTATTTTAAAAATCTCAGACAAAACAAAAATAATAAATTAAAATAAATAAATCAAGAACTCCTTCTTCTTCAGCCCACCCAACCCATCGCCACCCCCACCCCTTCTCTTTTCTTATTCTTCTTCAGCCCAGCCCCCAGCCCCACCTTTTTCCTCTTCTTTTCAGCCCCAGACCACCCCCCCCCCCACATCCCTTTTCTTTTCTTCTTCTTTAACATATTTTCCATTATTGTAATTTAAAGTCATAAACACAATAATCTAGTAATTTTCCCTATAAAATCATGAACTATAAGTGAATGAAAGTTGAAAACTTAATTCATTAGGCTAATTCATATTTTATTCATGAATATTCATATGTTTATGCATAGAATATGAATTCAAATTAAAAAAATTATCCACCCGATCCACTGAAATATAAACGAATCGAATAATTATCATAATATCAACTTATTTTATCGACACTCTATAACACATAAAATATCACAACCCTTCAACTATGATTTTATAATTCAATGTGCACTAATTAATAATAATGTTCATTTTATTAAACAAATCTAGAATGTACCCCACAAATGGCAATCATATAATCCTTTCCATGGGTTTCTCGCGATCTCTTTATTTTACTAAGTAGGCGTTTGGCCATGCGATATCATATCACGATATGGTATCGTGAGATGAAATTAGCGTTTGGACATGCGATTTTACGCTGATTTCATCTCATGAGAGGTGATATCATTTTCTCCAAAAACCATGATATGAAATCACCATGTGATTTCATATCATGATTTGAGATATTTTAATACAACAATTGATCCATGAGTTTATATTTTGTTAAAACAACCCCACATTTATATCTACTAACCATTTGTTTCATATGTAAATAAAATTTATAATCACATCATTACTTTTTAAAATTTATTATTCT